CCCTTACGAAAAAATACTATTAGTGGTAATAGTGTCACTAATAGTATCACTAGTAGTGCTAGTAGTGTCACTATTAGTGCTAATAGTGTTACTAATAGTATTACTAGTAGTTCTAGTAGTGTCACTAGTAGTGCTAATAGTGTCACTGTGAGTTACACTATTAGTGCTATTAGTGACACTATTAATGGGCGCATTCAGTAGAAAAAGCGCTCAGTGAGCAATCAACGATTATTGGTTCTTGCTATTAGATCTCTAAATCTAGACCAATTACATTGATAAATTACTCAACTGTTGTGCAACTGTTGAGTCTACTGAATGCAGCCAATGTTAATAGTAGCACTGTTAGTGACACTAATAGTACTAATTGTGACACCATTAGTAATGATAGTGACACTACTAGTGTTAGCAGTGATATTATTAGTGACACCAGTAATGTCAGAAGTGACACTACAAATGCCAATAGTGGTAATATCAGTATTATGGCTGCATTCCGTTTTACGCATAATTGCGTAATGCACATTTTGTACAATATACGTGATATGAAGTTTAGATAAATACGCGCATATGCGTAAAATGGAACGTGGCCTATAACCCAGACAGCACAATGTCCAAAACCGGGACATAAGACGACTTTAAGACGTCTTTAAGGGTCATATTCATAGTCGGGTCTTATATCTTAAGTTTATCTTCAGATACTCCATAGCCAATGAAATAATCCGTACATCATCTGAAGATGAACTTAAGACGGTCTTAAATATAAGATCTGACTATAGGCCTGTTCTTTGTAGTTGCACTGCTGAACTGGTGCAATATATTGAAGTGAAACAAATATACGTTTTCTCACTCTAACTTATTGCACTAGTTCAGTAGTGCAGCTACAAAGAACAGGCCTTATAAATACGGGCTTTAGTTGTCTTTAAGATGTCTGCACGAAAGACGTCTATTATGGCCATTCTACAATAAGCTTTTAGTCATAAGTCCTAATAAAATTGACCAATCATAGTTGATTATTAGAAGAATAATCCACTGTAATTGGTCAATTTTATTACGACTTAAAACTTATTGCTTATTGTAGAATAGCCATTAGACATCCTTAAGACGTCTTTAAGACGTCTTATGTCCCGATTTTAGATTTTGTGCTGTCTGGGAAGTGGCACTTGATGCGCTGATATGTACAAACATATATATCTTATTGTTATTATAGAAAAACTATAAAAGATAATTATTACTATCGGGAATACATTTTTCAGATTATTACATATAATTTTTGCTGTACAAAAATTTATTTTCTATGACAATTACGTTTATAATGTGGCACAATTACATAAGTGTATGCTTCATTAAACTTAATTCTTTATTAGTCTATCTCGATGTTGTTGACAAGGGGTGTATATCAGTTGGGGCAATTGGAGACAGTCCAATCACAAGTCGCTGTTCCAAGGGACCCTACAAATGTCTCTAATCACACGGTGCTGTGATTGGCTGCGTCCAAATGCACCGTGTCCAAGTGCACCGCTCCCGTTGACAAGGCGCGTATTAACGAAGTCATCATGTCCTACATAAGATTGCATTCTGATACATTTTCTACGCAATGAAGTAGGACAGATCGCGATAATTGTATTAGTTATAGAACATACAAAAAATTGGTTTCTCGATGATATAGTAGAATCTGAAATAATGCACAATTCTGTGTTAGTTCTGTCTAAAAGTCTTCCAATGACGACATATTTCAATTGTGCATTGGATTGTGTACGAACACCTAACATCACATGTATGATGATAAAAGAACCATTATGCAACTCAGCCGTACAATTATCACGCTTTTTCAATGCTTTACATATATCCGTATGCCACAAAATTTTATTTATGATAAATCGTTTAAAGCTATCAGCAGAATCTAAAATATGTTCGCCTAAAAAAGCTTCTACTATTGTTTTTTCAAGCAAAGATAGTTTAATCATTTTTGGTGTTCCGAATAATCGTAAAAAGTTTCCGTATGTGATACATTGTTGAGGTCGATACACTCCACTTATTTTGTTGTACAGTGTTCTTGCATCTTCGGAACAGTCTATGCGTGAAAAAACAATTGCAGATAATTGTTCAGCATTCTTAAATCTAATATAAGATTTACATATTCGTTCTGGTACAGCTTGAGAATTTTTGAACATTTTACTTAAAACTCCATTGTAATGTTCAAACGGAAACATGGATGTTGCCCAAAGAGCACCAAATCTTTTAACGGATGAAGATATGTGAAGCATTAAATGTACATTAAATTTATAGAATTGTATACCGTATAACTGTTCAATTTGAAATACAAAACGTTGTATAGCAATTTCAGCTGAAGAAAAATCTGTGTTTGTTATTTTTTCTTCCAACAATATATACATACTGAACACTAGATAAAACCAATGCTTAAGATATGCTGTAGGCATTATATTTTGCATACATATCATGGAATAGTAGAGAAGAAAATGTTTCCATTCAGAACCTTTCCATATTTTTCTCTTATTAATTGACCGTGGAGTTCGCGTTATTTCACATGGCGGCTTTATCTTTAATAGTTTTCTATTAAATATAATCGTCTTGGTGCCAAGATACCATGGTTTGTCATGATAAGCAGAATCAAACCATGCCTCAGTGAATGTCTTCACGACTCCCAATAAAATACTATGAAGATAATCCGGCGTGAACGAAGTGACAATATTGAATACTGGTAACAGCATAAGAATAGAAGGTCCTTTGATACCTCTCACAATCTTGCCACCCTGCATACATATTTTACAATCTTGTTCATGTTGACGTAGTGTTCTATTACTGCCTACATCTCCCGGATAAACTCTTGTTGATCCTCTTCCCACTGTGACCTGCTGACCTTCATGCAAGCAAAATGAACATTATTATATCGTCCATTATATTGTACAATTTCTTGAAGAATTGGCCTTGCAACAGAATCTACAGGGCTTACAATTGTATGAATTTTTATACACATTTTTTGTCCGTTTACATTCCGTATGATTCCTTTCTCATGTAAAGAAGTCAATTCTTCAACAAAAGAATTTAAATATAAATGCATATTAGCTTTATCGCGACCATACCATAGACCACAAAGTATCATATTTTCTCTTCGAATTCTATATGACAATTCATTTATACACACTTGGATTGGCCACAGAGAAAATGGCGAAGAACGGCACAGTTTAACGCCATCCGTATTAAATTGCAAAGTAATATCGTTTTCAGAAATCATACCATTTTCTACCATTGATCTATAAAAAGTCCCGGAAGATACATCAGAAATTGACTCATTCCTCTTAACTAACAAATCATAGACATGACTGTTTACAATCTTATGTAATTGGCTTTGTAACGGAAGATGTATGAAGTAGTACATGTTATTTGTCAAAAATGACTTCATATATTTTGTACTGCATTGCAAACATGTAACATTTGTATTCTCTTTAAGATGGTTCAGATTTAAGATTCTTTCGCAATTCGGACAATAATAATGTTTGCATACAGAAACGAAATTTTCATACTCATTGAAAAACATGTACTTACTTCTGAATACAGAATTAGGTAGTAACAAATCTATCAACTCAATAAGATGTTCTAATGCTACGTCACTTAAATGATGACGAATGGTGAAATGCAAGAGTAATAAATATCCTTCTTCTTTTGATATACGAGAACCTTCATAAAGTGAGTCTCGAGTCTGAAAAACGAAATCATTGTATTCATTAAGGGGACTTCATTTAAATGCAAACAATGTTAATGTGTTGAATGCCCAATGTATTACAATATAAAAATTATAGCAACAAATTTTCTTAATATTTGTTACAAAAATACATACATTGTTGTCTCCTGGGATGTATTCAAATTTCTTGATATCTTTTGCATCCTCAAACGCATCGTTATCACTATTATCACAGCTATCTTCATGAAATGAATTATCATCATCTTGTGTATCATTGTCATAACTGTTACTGGATTCTTTCTCACTTGGAATATTTAGAATTGACGATACTCTACTCAACATTTCTTCGTTCTACAAAAAAGAATATGCGTTTATATTGTGTGTATACACTTTCACAAATTTTTATTGTATATAATAAAGTACTGTAACGTTTTTCATAAACAGAAAGATATAATTTACTTACATCACTATTGGATCTACTTGATACAGATAGTCGGTCACTATATTCACTATTTCCATGAATATTCCATGAACGTGACTGTTGTTGTACATCAATGGAGTATGGATATTCATGTTCCATGTCCATTGTATATGAAACATGAATACTGTTAATAATATGTAACTAATTAAAGAACCAAATATATGCATAATAATATATACGTCAAATCATTGAAAAACTGAACTAAGATGAAACTATCTTATGTTGTATATATACTAAGATATCCCTATTGAAATCATAAATTAACAATTCATTTTATTACCATGTCGTTTAATTGCAATTGCCGGCTGCATTGTGCGTTATCTATATTAGAAGTAACTACTGCTATTGCTCTAGAACGGAGTGTTGATTGTGGCTTCACGATCATTCCTCAAGTAGGACACGGGGCAATTGGACACAGTCCAATCACAAGTCGCTGTTCCAAGGGACCCTACAAATGTCTCTAATCACACGGTGCTGTGATTGGCTGTGTCCAAATGCACCGTGTCCAAGTACACCGCTCCCGAGGCCGTATATACTGTTCTGGAGAGATTGTGGGGTGTAGGATACGTTTCAAAGTGAGCGCTGTGTCGCGTGGGATGGCATTCGAGGACTAAAATGGGAATGGACGACGTGAAACAGCATCACTTAGGCAAACTCTGAAAAACTCCTACATACATATTCTCCATATTTATAGGTATAGTTTCCGGAATGGAGCCGTGTCTTGAATCAGCGATGTGCCGACGTTTCGCAAACGTTGCAGTTTGCATCATCAGGGCTGAGAACTCTGATACTAAGCTCCCTTGGGTAAAGGTTGTCCTTATATGCCTACCCTACCCCTTGTGTAGATGGCGCTGGGGATAGCGGACGTAGCTTGAATCCAGCCAATCAGCGCATTTTAATTGATCAGCTGTGTTCGGGATTCGACGCCGATGAGCTGCGGATATAATATTCCAGAACCTTCAGTAGATTCAATAATATTTCAGAAAATCGAGAGAACACGTAACATCTATTCCAAATCTCGAACATATTTATTCGCGAGTGATATCAAGCAAGGACACGTAAACAAGCGGATCCGTGGCGCGTGCTGGATAATCATATCGCTCCGATTAAGTAATCTTTGACGTTGGCATAGCAACCGCGGCTGAAACAACGATTCCGCGAATCAACAGCCGGCACGCGCCGCGGATCCTCGCTTCGCAACACTTTATCTCCCTTTAAGGAGATCAAGGAATGCGTTAATCTCACGACCATAAAATCGCCAATCCGCGCGCGACAGAGCACAACCCGACGGGTATATTAGACGGGAGCGGTGCACTTGGACACGATGCATTTGGACACAGCCAATCACAGCACCGTGTGATTAGAAACATTTGTAGGGTCCCTTGGAACAGCGACTTGTGATTGCCCCGTGTCCAACTGATATACACCCATATTAGACACCGTGCGCGGCAAGTCGATAGCTTCGCCTTCTGGTCGTGGTATAATCTGTTAATCGGACGGACCGCACTCGTAGTCCGGAATAAGAAGACGATCCTTTCGTTGCATTCATTCGGGCGACTTTCAACTGCTTCAGGGGAAGCAAGTTATATCCGCTACAGTTGGGTCGGCGGTGCGCAAGGCTCCAACTGTCGGCTATTTATTGTGCTCTCTCGCGCGATCGAGTTTAGTAGATATTCGTCGAATTTGGTTGTGCCCGATTTACGGCCAGTTCCAACCAATCCGCGGGTCGCCGTACGATTTCATCGCTTCCGAGGATCTCAGTGGTCTGCGGCAAGATTTCCGACAAGTCGCGGATTGTACGCGGGCTAACAAGCTTTCCATCGCGATTATTGAGACCGGCTGATCACGGAGAAGAAGATTTCCGTGTGCGGAGCGATCCAGGCAATCTCAAGATCACGCCGACCAAGAGCGCAACCAAAATAAAGTTGTTTTGTTGAGACATCAGCTTACATTAATTCGTCGTCAAACCAGACTATCTCCCGTTCCTCACGTCACCGGGTCTCGTGCGAGGCCGTCCCGGCAATCAGACTTTGCGCAAACCAAGAACGCAAATCTGATACAAGCTGGTCAATTAAAAAACCGGGAGAGCAGTGTGCCAAACAGAGTTTACTTGCATACCTTTGTCTCGGTTGAGATTGTTGGAATGTTTTAAAATTTCTAGACCTTCGTGATGTTTTCTTGCAAAATAGCTCTGCGATGGAGCCAGTCTGGTGGCCTTGTCATATTGTACGGAGTGTCCAGTCTCCATCCAGCTAGGGCTGATTGAGCAAAGTGGCCGTACTTAGTATATCGCTGATATTCTTTGATTCGCGTACTGATCTTCCTCCCGGTTTCCCCTATATAAACTTTACCACAAGAGCAAGGGATCTTATATACACCTGAAGTCTCCAGGAATGATTTATGATCCTTCAGATTTGGAAGTAACTGGGAAATCTTTCTATGGGGTTTGAAGATTATTTTGATATCGTGTTTATCCAGAATCCTGCTGATAGGTTCTGTTATGCCCTGAAGATATGGAAGGACAGCCGTCTTTTTCTTTTCTCTCTCTTCATCTAGTGTGTCAGCGTTTTTAGAACTGAGCATTCTGTTCTTCAGGTTTTGTATTGTTTGCGAGATGTTTTTGTTATTGTATCCATTTTTGGTTAAGACTGTACTGATGTGTTCTAATTCTCCATCCAGAGAAGATGATTCTGAAATTGTGAACGCTCTGTAAACCAATGAACTTATGACATAATTCTTTTGCGAGGGATGATGATGAGAGGTTGCATGCTGATAGCAGTCCGTATGTGTTGGTTTCCGGTAGACCTGGTGACTTAAGGTACCATTTTGGTTCCTTTGGACTAGCACATCCAGAAAGGGAATTTGATTATTTTGTTCCACTACCATTGTGAACTGAATACTGGGATGCTGTGAATTGAGAAAACCGAGAAACTGAGAAAGAGTTTCCCTACCATGATTCCAAATCACAAAGGTATCGTCAACATACCGAAATCATGTGGATGGTTTCAGTGGTGCGTTCTTCAGAACTTCATTTTCAAAATGTTCTATAAAGATGTTTGCAATGATAGGAGATATAGGCGATCACATTGCCGCTCCAGAGGTTTGTTCGAAGAACTCTCCTTGGAATTGAAAATAAGTTGAAATTAAGCAATGTTCTATTAGTGGAAAAAGGTTGGCAGGAAAGGGTAGGGTAGGCATATAAGGACAACCTTTACCCAAGGGATCTCAGTATCAGAGTTCTCAGCCCTGATGATGCAAACTGCAACGTTTGCGAAACGTCGGCACATCGCTGATTCAAGACACGGCTCCATTCCGGAAGCTATACCTATAAATTGTATTAATGGCCGTGAAAGCCTCAAATCTAGTATTCTCCATATTTGGTTGTGAAGAATTCACGCTATAATTATATGAAGTGTAGAGTTTTATTAATATTTATGCATACCAAACATACGATACTTCAGTAGAGATTGAGGGACCGACATGAAATATCTTGCCAGTCCATTACGTGGAAAAGTATTCCATAAAAACTTGCAACTAACTTAAAGAAAACTAAAAGCAAGAAAGACACCGAAAACATGCACATGTCTTACAAAGAGCAATATTAGCTGGAGCGGTGCACTTGGACACGGTGCATTTGGACACAGCCAATCACAGCACTGTGTGATTAGAGACATTTGTAGGGTCCCTTGGAACAGCGACTTGTGATTGGACTGTGTCGAATTGCCCCGTGTCCAATTGATATACACCCATATTAGCAGCCACCAAGCAATCCAAGCTGTAACTGAGTCTTTCAGAAACGAAACAGATGAACTCCACTTGTGGTCACTGCTGAATTCTAATACCACAACACAAAGTAC